AACTACTCAAAAAGCAGAAACTGCACAATTGACTTGTGTGTTTGCTTGACTGTCTTTCACTGACACTGAAGTTTCACTCTCACTGTGGACCTTAGTCCTTATGGCGTGGTGTAAGTTTTTCTCTCATTTCAGCTGTTACAGCGATACTTCTGGAGCGTGTGTCTACATAGCAAGTTTTCTCCACTGCGTCTATCACAGATCAGCTATGATTGACTGTCGTTTATCAGAGTCACTCAATCGGTGAACAGCGTCAGAACGTTACAGCCAATCTTAGCCCTTTCTGTTGAGCGCGTGACCAATCATAGGGGTGCAAGAACTCGCTCGACAAGGCTCAGAAGGTGAGCGGGATATTTACATGCATTTATTTGCTATAAATGCTCATGTTGTTCTGTGCATGTACTTGAGTTTTTAAAGGTAGTTCCTTTATCTGACAAAATCGTTTCTAAAACAGAGATTTCAGTGGGGGTTTGGGCAAAAACATAACATGGAAAGGATTCCTTTTGTTGCATGTAGTTATGGTGTATGCTCGATAGTAAGGCATGCTTGCTCCTGTTGGTGTTGTCAATCTGGTAAACTGCATTTTCATGTACTCAAAAGAGGAGTCGGTATGAAAAAGAGTTGATTTTAAACTGCAATTCCTAGTTCAACCACTGTGCCAATACTACATACTGGACCTTTAAAATGGATTACCTGACAAAAGTCTTATCATCTATCCCAGTTTTAGGGGATAAAAACAATAAATTGACTTCTTGTTTATCATTTGGAAAAGTGGCAGAAGATAGATTTTTCTGTTCTGCTGAGCTGCATCCTAATCATCACAAATACTGAAGAAGACCTATTGGAGCCTTCATGGACCCAAGACTCTCACAGAAATCAGAAAAGTTTAGTAAAGGAAAAATCATGGCTTGGGGTTACATTCTGTGTGGTGTATGCGAGAGATCTGCAGAGTAGATGGTAACATCAACAGCCTGAGGTATCAAGACATTTGTGCTGCTCATTACATTACAAACCACATGAGAGGGCAAATTCATCAGCAGGATAGCGCTCCTTCTCATCCTTCAGCCTCCACATCAAACTTACGGAAAGCAAAGAAGGTCAAGGTGCTCCACGACTGTACAGCCCAGTCACCAGACATGAACATTACATTATTGAACATATCTGGGGTAAGATGAAGGAGGAGGCATTGAAGATGAATCCAAAGAATCGTGATGAACTCTGGAAGTCCTGCAAGAACACTTTCTTTGCCATTTTAGATGACTTTATTAATAAGTTATTTGAGTCATTGTAGAGATTTATGGATGCAGTCCTCGGGAGTCATAAATAATATTAATTCTTTTTCCACTGCACCATGACTTTATATTCTATACTGCACATTGTTTCTGTTAAGTGACAAAACTTTTGTCTAAGCAAAGTCAGACATTACTGTCCTAATTAAATAATTAACAATCAAGGCATGATCATATTTTGTCTTGAAAAAATCTACAGGCCTTTGCCTTACATATAAGCCACTTTTGATACCAAATGATCAACCAGAAGGTCAAGTTATTAATTGTTGTTTCTAAAACTTGGATAGGCGACAAGACTTTTGTCAGGTAGTGTGTGTATATATATATATATATATATATATATATATATATATATATATATATATATATATATATATATATATATATATATATATATTTATATATATATATATATATATATATATATATATATAAGTATTTTGTTCATGGAATGCGTCAAGCTGCTCTGCTCTTATACTGCAATCAAAGCAAAATATAACCATTAAATAAAGCACACATTTTGATACATAAATACTTTTGAATCCACAAATGACATTTGTCATTTGACTTTTTGACTCATGGATGACTTTTCTAGGCCAAAAACGTGCCAGCATGGCAACAGCAGGTAAGGTTTGATCATCCTCCCCAAAACCCTGTTCCACCCCCCATGGACGCAGAGGCCCGGAAGCTTCCGCCATGCCGTGACAGCGAGCTGCTTCGACAGAAGGGCCGGGAATGCATGACGGGGGCGGAGCTTTCATGCGCATAATGCACAGATGGGCCTCTGGACACTGCTAGGGCACCAGAACTCCCAGGATGCACCAGGCCAGCAAAAATGTCATGGTTATCTGAAGGCACAAAATCATCTGATTTGGTGCTTCTACATTTTTTTTTAACATAAAGGAAAGGCTTTAGCCATTTTTGGGATCATAGTAGACAACTCAACTGTGCCTAGTTTTACTCTAAACAGCCAAGAACTCAGTCCAGCCAAGTAAGCCAAGGACTGATGCATTTTTTATGAACCTTTTCATCCAATCATAGTGAATGTAAAAAATAAATAAATAAATAAATAAATAAATATGGGATTCACTAGCACACTAAATGTCAACACTCTGTGCATCCCAGACTAATGAAAGAAACATTAATTATCCAAAATTAGACTTTTCACCCATTCGGTTTTATTATTGACTAATAGACATAACGGAAATTAAAGGAAACATCTTCACTAATTGCAATATAAATTTTTGTCAATATTTTGACCACTAATAAAGGTGTTGTTACTGTTTCATTTGAAAAATTAAATACTTTTTAGGTCCCATAGTAATGTTTACATTTATAACAGTAAATTTTCAGTAGATAATATTACAGTGGGTTACTTTATGTAGCCTCAAGAGGTTTTAAACCTCAATGACTTTCTTATTTTCCTGCTGAACACAAAATATTTTTAAAAACGTTGACAACCAGTTCAATGATATCTATTGTAAATTATATATAATCCAATAATCCAATGGAAAACAAAGGTTACTAATGGTTTGCACCATCATTAAAGTAAATCTTCTTTCATGAATAAAGATTTTATAAATGATACGTAATTTTGGCCCAAGCTCAACTTTTAATAAGAAATTATTTGCAATATTGCACATTTTGTAGTTTTAGTAGTTAATATAGTTATTCACATTCTTACTCTCTCATTTTAAAATTAATAAAACAAATACATCAATAAAAAGACTTTTGATGATATGGATTTTACTTACTACACTTTCCAAAAATGTCTTAACACAGAATGGCATTAATATGATAAAAATAGTGTAAATATAGAAGGATCGTTTAAACCTCTTTCAAATATCGATAAACATCACAAAAACCAATTCATTTACACTCACTGGACACTTTATTAGGTACACTGGCAACTTACTAGAACCGGATTGGACCCCTTTCGCCTTCACAACTACCTTAATCCTTCGTGGTATAGATTCAAGAAGGTACTGGAAATATTCCTCAGAGATCCTGTTCCATATTGACATGATATCATCAAGCAGTTGTTACAGATTCATCCGCTGCACATCCATGATGCGAATCTCCCGTTCCACCACATCCTTATTGTGCTCTGAGTTCTGGTGACTGTGGAGACCATTTAAGCAGAGTGAACTCATTGTTGACATGGCGCATTATCCTGCTGTAAGTAGCCATTAAAAGATGGGTACACTGTGGTCATCAAGGGATGGACATGGTGAGCAACAACACTCAGGTAGACTATGGTGTTGACATGATGCTCAATTGTTACTATTGGGCCCAAGTGTTCCAAGAAAATATCCCCCACACCATTACACCACCACTAGCAGCCTGAACTACGACAGGATGTCTTATATAGGATATAAGAGAGGATGGATGTTTATGTTGTTGATGCCAAATTCTGACCCAACAATCCGAATGTCACAGCAGAAATCGAGACTCATCAGACCAGGCAATGTATTTTTAATCTTCTATTGTCCAGTTTTGGTGGGCCTGTGTGAATTGTAGCCTCAGTTTCCTGTTCTTAGCTGAAAGGCCCCCCAGTGTGATTTGCTGCTGCTGTAGCCCATCCGCCCCAAGGTTCGACATGTTGTGCGTTTAGGGATGCTCTTCTGCATACCTTGGTGCATGCCTCGGTTGTAATGAGTGGTTATTTGAGTTACCGTTGACTTTCTATCAGCTTGAACCAGTCTGGCCATTCTCCTCTGACCTCTGGCATCATAAGTCATTTGCACCCACAGAACTGCCACTGACTGGATATTTTCTCTTTTTCTGACTATTCTCTGTAAACCCTGGAGTTGGTTGTGCGTGAAAATCCCAGTAGATCAGCAGTTTCTGAAATACTCAGACCAGCCCGTCTTCCATCCACAACCAGGCCACATTCAAAGTCACTTAAATTACCTTTCTTCCCCATTCTGATGTCCGGTTTGAACTGCAGCAGATGGTCTTGACCATGTCTACATGCCTAAATGCATTGAGTTGCTGCCATGTGATTGGCTGATTAGAAATTTGAGTTAAAGAGCAGTTGGACAGGTGTACCTAATAAAGTGGCCCGTGGGTGTATGTGTACAAGGATAATGTACAACATGACATGTTGTGCCAGAATTAGCTATAAAGCTAATGTGCATCTTATTTGAAAGAAAATACTAAATATATTTGAAAGATTTTATTACAATGTAGTATATTAAGATGATTTCTTTCTGTTGAGTAATACAAAACGCTGAAAGTTTTAGTCCATTAGGCTGGTATCTAGCCCGTCCGTAAATAATTGCTTCTTATAAAGTACTTTTAATACCTAAAAACATAATTTCAAAACCTACAAAGAACTGAATTATAAAATAACTTTTATAATACATATATAAATTGTAGTGTTTAAATAGTTACCTTATCTACAAGTATCTCTTTCATTAGAAAAAACAAATTACACTAAATAATAAAGCTTTCACCATATGAAGCAGACTTTGCATTAGTTTATAATGATATTAGTGACTATAACCGTGGAATTTGTCAGCATTTGTTATCGAAGCATTTGTTTGAATGCGGAAGTCGTATTTTAAAGAGCCGATGTCCCGGATGTCATGTAGCACAGGACAGCTTATAGATGTGAAAGGTAAGAGTCACATTATCCACCTGCTTTTACATCAGTGTCCCTCGACACCACCCGCTTCGTGGCAGCCGAATTTGACGAGAGAAGGGATTTACCTGCCACGACCACTTTCTCTTCCCTGCCCTTCAGCGCGCGCTCTTTGGTTGGCAAAACGCTCTTGTTTGCCATTTCGAGCTGAGCGACTACCACACACAGACCGAGCTGCAGGACGAAGAAGGTGATGAGGATGGTGGCCGCGTGCGCTCCTGCTTGCGGAAATAAATATGCCCGCGCGGGCGCCATGGAGCTGGAGGAGGAGTGAGGGCACAGCCGCGCCCACCTCATGAATATTCATCAAGCGCTGAGGGACTTCGCCAGATGAATATTAACTAGCCAGAGGTTAATGTGACTTTGCCACAAAAGCCTCCCGTGCGGTATGTGCGGGTAAGAAATTAAATTAAAATAAATATCCACATTAAGATAGCAGTTCGGCATGCAAATGAGCTTCCAGCACCCCCCGTCACTACGTCTGCCGGCATAGCAAAACTGAGCATCTGTGTACTGTCGTGGAGGAGCGCGCCTGCATACATTAAAATTAGCATCTGGAATCCATTCATCATGATTATTGCGATTTCTGCGCGTGTAAATACTTGCATTATTTCCTTCCATTGCAGTGGTGGCTTTATTCAGTGACTAGTGTCAAAATAAAGGCACTGCCTCCAAATATTATCAGAAAGAAAGAGTTTTGCCTTTAAAACGTTGAACTCCGGATAGTGAGATGAAACGGATGTATTGTTGTCATTTGCAAGTACAGGTCACAATACAGCCTTTAAATTCAATTAAATATCATAATAAATATACAGTATTTGGCCAGAAAAATTTACAAGAAACCAAGGAAAGTACCAAGTTGCTAAAAAGGAGACAAAACCACTTACTGCTATTTCTGTGCATGTGCATTACTTCTTTCCATTGCAGTGGTGGCTTTATTTGCTGGCATGTGTCAAAATAAAACACACTGCCTCCAAACTCTGTCAAAAAGCATGCTTTGGCTTTCTCAAAATGTTAAATTGCTCATGTAATTCTGCACACAGTGCCATGGAAAAGCAGTAAACTGTCAAAAATTGTCAATACAGGTCATAATACAGCCATAAATTCACAGAATTTAGGCTGATGTGTGGTGCTTCAACCTTCAGTTCAAATCTATTCTTTCAGTCATTCATTATTTCTTTTTGGCTTAGTCCCTATATTAATCTGGGGTCGCTACAGCGGAATGAACCACCAACTTATCCAGCATACTGTATGTTTTACGCAGCGGAAGCCTTTCTAGCTTCAACCCATCACAGGGAAACACCCATACACTTCAATTCACGAATACACACTATGGCCAATTTAGCGTACCCAATTCACCTATACTGCATGTCTTTGGACTTGTGGGGGAAACTGAGCACCGGGAGGGACCCACTCATCATGCAAACTCCACACAGAAATTCCCAATTGACACAGTCGAGGCTCGAACCAGTGACCTTCTAGTTGTGAGGCGAGAGCGCTACCCAATGCGCCACCGTGCTGCCCCATTTCAGTTTATTATAAAAATAAACAAGCTTAACATAAAGAACACCATTGGATTTATTGGCATGTCTCAAAATAAAGACACATACAAACACTGACAAAACGCTTGCGTTATCTTCTTTAAAACATCAGAGTGAGATGAATAAGTTGTAATACTTACAAGATTAATCAGTGCAGGTCATAACAGAGCAGTTAAATTCCATTTAAGTTGATATCGTGCTTCTGTCCAAATCTGTTCCATATATGAAAATATTACATGGTTAACGGGATAGATAGATAAAAGACAGACACAGACCGATAGATAGATAGATAGATAGATAGATAGATAGATAGATAGATAGATAGATAGATAGATAGATAGATAGATAGATAGATAGATAGATAGATAGATAGATAGATAGAGACAAAAAAGAATGCATTATATACAGGTTCAGACTGGAGGGATGAAAGTAAGACATATAGCAGGCTTTTTGTTTGTTTGTTTGTTATTTTCAGTTTCAGTCAAATTACAGTCTCTTATCTGAGCAGAAGAGTAGGTATGGTGTCACCATGGAGGTGTTAAGGGCAGAAAGAGAGGCTTTGAAATTGCCTTGCAAATGAGATATAATTATAACCAAATGCAGGCAGGAAAGCAACATTGCTAAAATAAAACACGAGGAAACCACTGCTTAATGGAGGCTGTGATATACGGATGTTTAAACAGAGAGATAGGATTACAATTGCGGTACTGTTTTTAAACTCCACATCAGATTCACTGTCTTGCTTCTTTCTAATTTTTGTAATGTTTATTCAATGATTTTATCTGCTACAGACAAGGACGAGACGTCCCTTTATAGATTAAATTACATTTACAAAAGTGGTTTTATATACACAGAGAACATTTTAAATTCAAGTTTCTTTATCAAAATATGATTAAGATGATTTATGATGCTCCATCATCATCCTGTGTAACAGATATTTATGTAAAAATGCAACATTCTGTCCTGTGCATATGGACAATTGGAAAAAGTTCAAATGTTGTTGATGGATACAAATAAAGATTTAAAAGATTGCACTGGGATCCTTAGTTTTTTTTTTAAATGTCACCATATGATTCTTGCACCACAAGATTTGAAGATTCTTGTTTGAATGTTGTGATCAGGTTTTTTTGCCCTTGAGACCGAGTCCGAGCCATTTGATTCAGAGTACCTACCGATACCAAAACCCGATCTATGACTTCTATAATTCATTAAAAAAATAATAAAGAAGAGCGAATAAACAGATCCAGAATGTTCCATATTTTTTTATTTAATTCACCTTATTTTAACATTTAACAACTCTGTTAATAAACAAAGCACTTCTGTAAGGTAGCTTGAACAATCAATAATAAATAACATCAATTCTTTACCTCTTGCATTCCCAAGTCTACATATCCCCCAGTTTGCTATAACAATGTTGTCATCATCAACATTCTAATACCTTTGGGGGGATGGGGGTGTTTGACAGTGCGCTCAACGTGTCTAAAGAGCGAGGAGGGATACGGTGATGAGGGGTGAGAAGGGTGTGCGACTTATTTGAGGACCGAGAGGGAGACGTGCGATTTCCGAGAGATTATCACTCGTTTGCGGGCATCCGGGAGTCTCTATGCATTTGCAAAAGACTCCCGAAACTTCCGGGAGACTTGGGATGTCTGAATATCATGTTTAACAACTATAGTGAGACGCGATCCAGCGGTACATCCTTGATAAACTGTCCGACATGGACTGCTCACTGGAGCTCAGGCGAGTGCATGACAGTGCATGTGTGTGGCTGGCTGTGTGGTCACGTGATGTGCATTTTCAGCAGACGGAGGGCTGTTCAGACATGCTAGGTAAAACACGGTGTGGATGTGGATAATTTTCGTTCTAAAATGCCATCTTAACACTAAGACGTATTAGTGTAAACTGGGCCTAAGTGTGTATTTTTCATAGGCGGGTTTGCAACAAGGGTGGGGCGGAGGATCGGCGATGCCGATCCAGCATCGTGTTGTCTACTGGCCATTAACGATGGATGATGCCATCGTCTATCGGCACAACCCTAGTGTCTTCCACAAATCATGGTGACATGTATGGTATTTTTCTAAATCAGGGGTGCCCAAACTTTTTCTATAAAGGGCGAAAACCCAAACTTGATTGAGGGCTGTGGGACAAAGGTAAATATACAAAACTATTTTACATAAAAGTTTCCCTGAGTAATTTCTAATTAATTTTCTAATATTTACAAATAGCTACAAAGCATTGCTTTAAATTACATTAACTAAAGCAGTTTGTTTAGAAAATGTTTATGATGAACTTATTACAGTAAAAACATAAACAATCCTATTAATAACACAATGGAAATCAATACTAAATACACTAAGCTGCATGTGCCTCTGCCTTGATTTGCTCACTGATGTCTTGTGCATTGCCTCCTATGTCAAATGACAGTCTTAACATTTTTAATAATTAGATTCATTTACAAAACAAAAGAAATTACAAAGCAAACAAACAAAACTTTACATCAAATTTGAAATGAGGATCTCTGCCAAAGATTTTCGGCCCAACCATCTCCTCATCATTCTCCTTTTCTTCTCAAATGGAAAGGTGGGCCAAATCTTAGGTTAGCATGGGCCAACTTTGGCCTTTGGGCCCTGGTTTGGGCAGTTCTGGTCTGAATAAATAAAGATAAAATAAATCTAAATAAAATATCACATTGTAAGATAGACACGAAATGACACTTTTATGGTTATTTGAATAAAGATGGACTGCACTGTTTGGTTTACAACTGTGGATTTCCATCATTAGGACTTTTGGTGCATAATATTGTCTCTTTCAGTGGAGGTATTTGCAATTCTTTCCTGAGGTCTATGAACTCTGAGTGGGTGGAGGGATGCTGAACTGCTGTTTCTGTAAATGGCAACAAAGCCGCTGTTAGGTAGATGCCTCATGAATTGGAGCAAAAAGGTGTGTGTGTGTGTGTGATTTGCAACTATATTTTCTCCTAGTTACTGTTAGATGGCCATTAATGACTGATCATTTACATTTACATTTACATTTATTTTTGTCAGATGCCTTTCATACCTGCTGAAGGTTCAGATCATGGGATTTAGAATGTGCAGGAGAGCTGAATATATGGATGACAGATTACTGTAGATTGAGAATGAGAGAGCGAAGGTAAAATACTGGATATTCAGAGACAGAAAAGGAGAGCGCAAGTGATAAATGGATTCACGGGATGAGTTAATCAGAGATTAATTAAGGCCTTTTTTCTGAAGGGATTGGCCTTGTGTTTTTGGCGCCAGGTTTGATGGGTTAGTTTTAAAAATTGATTAGTTTTGCGATGGCATCTTTGCCTCAGCTGAGAGTGTTGTTTAGTTTTGAATGCGTACGGCATATACACACACATCTCTTTCTGATTAACATGAGAAAGAAAAGAGGCAGTCGACTGTTGGGTGTTTTAGCATAATTGTGGCTTTGCTGGTCTCACTCGAGTGAGATGCTTAATTAAAATAATAAATCATGATTCTGCGTCACCACTAAAGAAATCCTTTTTTTCCCGTCTTCCCCCTTTACTCACACAAAAATATATGGACAGTGTGTCCGTGAAGGTCACACTGCAGCCACTGTGTCCAATCCAGGCCTGCATCCACCCAATCCCACTTCAGGATTAGCTGGTGAACTCGTTAACTGGTTAGCAGATATCCTCCTCCCCTCCCCCTCCACCCTTGCTGTTTTTACCCCAGAGCAGCCTAGAGTAAGACACTCTTACCCCACATGGGATGGTCAGATTACAGCCTCCCTTTAATCCCACATGCACAGACTACAGAGACTTGTGTCAGTATGTCACATTTTTTTCTCTTTGTTTCATTCTATGGTATATTTGAATCCCTAAAAATGTCTCATGAATTAAACACTAGCCTTTTTATGTGATATTTTAAATTGCATGGTGTGAATATTCAGTTCAAAGGACATGGCAAAGGTCAATGAACACTATTTGTCACTTGACAGGACATAAAAAAAGTGTTTGTGCAGAAGATTATAAATTGCAGTAACACCATATTCATGAACACACATTGCACAAAATGTATAATATATCTAAATAATTCTTACCTTTTTGTTAAATGTAAACTGTCATAATTACATTTAGGAACTGGAGTTATATTAATGTTATATATTATATTATATTATATTATATTATATTATATTATATTATTAAATCATTTATTTTATTTTCGGCTTAGTCCCTTTATTAATCTGGGGTCGCTACAGCGGAATAAACTGCCAACTTATCCAGTATATGTTTTACACAGCGGATGCCCTTCCAGCTGCAACCCATCACTGGGAAACATCCATAGACACATACACTACGGACAATTTTAGCCTACCAAATTCACCTGTACCACATGTCTTTGGAGTGTGGGGGAAACGGAGCACTCGGAGAACATGCAAACTCCACACAGAAACGCCAACCGACCCAGCCAAGGCTCGAACCAGCGACCTTCTTGCTGTGAGACTACAGCACTTTCCACTGTGCCACCGTGTCGCCTATATTATATTTTATTATATAATTCATTTATTTTCTTTTCGGGTTAATCCCTTTATTAATCATGGATCACTCAACTGCCAATGTTTTATTTTATTATATTATATTGAACATGCAATTATGTTCTGTTATTTTGAAAGTCAAATCTAGATTAAAAACAATAATACTTTACCAA